AATTCTACAATTACGATAAATAAGTCTACTACATATTTATAAATCTATCACTACTACAAATAAATCTACATATTATAAACTTACCACTACCACGTGTATAAATATATCTACCACATATTATAAATCTACTACTACTATAAATAAATCTACCACTACTATAAATAAATCTACCAACTAAAGGTTGTTTAGTAAAGACGTGAAAAGATTGAATAAATCTACCACTACAATAAATAAATCTACCACATATTATAACTCTACCACTAGTATAAATAAGTCTACGATTGCGCGAACCATCAATAAGTCTACCGATCACAAAATAACTCTACCACAACTACTAATAATCTTATCACTCAAAAATAAATCTACCACTACTGTAAATAAGTCTGCGATTGCGCGAACCATCAATAAGTCTACCGATCACAAAATTAACTCTACCACCACTAGAAATAAGTCTATCGATCACAAAATTAATTCTACCAGTACTACAAATAACTCTACCACATTTTATAAATCTACCACCACTATAAATAAGTCTACCATTGCGCGAACCATCAATAAGTCTACCGATCACAAAATTAACTCTACCACTACTACTAATAAATCTATCACTGAAAAATAAATCTACCACTACTATAAATAAATCTACGACTGCGCGAACCACCAATAAGTCTATCAATCACAAAATTAACTCTACCACTACTAGAAATAAGTCTACCGATCACAAAATTAAATCTATCATTACTACAAATAAGTCTACCACATATTATAAATCTACCACTACTATAAATAAGTCTATGATTGCGAACCATCAATAAGTCTACCAACCACTTAATAAATCTACCAATCGCAAATAAATCTACCATTACATAAACGACACACTTATTCGCTTTTAGCGGGAAAATTTTGTTGTCTTATTAATGGCAGTTTCATAAATACATTTTTTATCTTCAAAGAAAATAAGACTAAAAAATGTGTAATAAATATTTAAAAATTGTTTAAATAATTATAAAAAATTAGCATCATTTTAGTCAAAAAAAACTATTTTTCAAAATTGTTTTAGTAAACTTCCCTATTATAATATCAAAAAATTGGCAGGTAAAAAGAGAGTGTGGGGCTTGGGTTATGATACTTTATAATGATGAAGGCCTCGTATTTCATAATTTATAGTGAACATAATCACGTTTCGGCCAGGTCTCTCTTGGTTTCCCCTATATTTTTTTCATAAAATATTCTCCAATTGCATTTTAATACATTTTAATATAATATACACTTTACACGATATACATTTATCTTACTACTATCATCATCGCTCGTTGTTGTTTTAGCCTAAACATAACATCATTACATGAAGCACAAATTTATTTGCCTATAAATAAATCTATTTTTGGGAGTAATAATTATCTAAGAAATTCACTTTTTTAATATGTGCGAGCATTTAAAGTGAGCACACTTATTGCTTGCGCGTAG